GCCCTCGGCGGCTGCGGGAGCCCGGCGGCCGAGGGCTGCTGCCGGGGGCCGTCCGGGAGGAGAGCCGGCGGCGCGGCGGTCCCGTCGGGAGAGCGCGGCCGCGGCGCGGGGCTGTTACCGTCGCCGCGGCCTGGCGCAGGCAGTCGGGGAGGCCGCCCTGCCCGCGGCGGCAGGACCGCCGTCGCTTCCTGAAGGTTCTTCTTGGGGGTTTCTCGGAGCAGCAGCCCCGGTTTGAAAGGCGGGCGAAGCCAGGCAGCCGGAGGCTGCGGGATCGGCAGCCGCGGCGGCCGCTTCTCCCGGCCGGGCCGCGGTCCCCGCAGCCCCCGGAGCGGGTACCGCACGTCGGGGCTGCGCCGTCCTGTCCCTCCCCGCAGCCTCGGCCCGAGGTTTGCCGAAGCGTGCGCAGGTCACCTGTCGCAGTGGCACGCGTGGGCCGATGCCGGTCAGGGGAGCCGGATGCCTTCGCACCAGACCTGCTCATCTTCGGAGTCTTTAAGTGCACTCCATCATAACAACAGTCTTCAGGCAAAAGAGACAAGCCTAATTAAACTGAGTCAAATACGTTTAAGCGGTTAAAGAACTTATTTTAAGTGCGTGAAAGCTGTTTACTCGTTTTTTCCCTTTGTGTTTTAATCCTTTCAGATACGTTACTGCGTTTAGATAAAAATATTTCCTGCTTAGGAATTTGCTAGCTAAAGCATTGTAAGAAAAACCTTGCAGACAAACCCGATAGGCTGTATGAAATAAGATGGCCCGTTTACTAGTATTGCCCGTGGGTCCTGCGTGGCATCAGTTTCCCCTTAATAGATTTAATTCATTATGTACCCAAAAGAGAGCCACTCGGCCCACCTTGCATGGCTCGTACAATGCACTGCTGTTACCTTGTGGCTGTGGTCGTGCAAAAGTACGCACCGAGCCAGCAAGGTTAATAATGTAGATCTCTTCTATTAGATCGAAAGATACAGATGGGGAAAACCCACAAGTTCCTGGGCACTCAGCCTTTCTTTGGATGCCATATGCAAATGCATTTACATGTTCTTTTCCCTCTGCCCATTCGGTGACTCCCATCAGTTTGCTGAGGAGCTAGTGACTGCCATTTTGCTGTACTTCTCAGCTCAGACAAAATGGACGCTTTGGAGGAATCAGTAACTACCACAGCCTGTGCCTCTAAAATTGAAGTTAATCACCTTTTTTTATAAAAGATGGTAATTTTGGGGGGTGGAAAAAAAAAATCAGCGTACCTCATCCTAAAAGGCAGAATCTCCTTTTTTTCCCTGTGAACACATGGGTGCAGTTGTGTTAATTTTCATTGCCGAAATGTAAATGTTAATGCACCTTGCACTTTGATGTATTGTCATAAAAGACACTGAATTTCAAATCACCAAGCCCACTGTGTGACACAGGGTTGTAACTTAGCTATTCATCTTTATTTGAAGCAGCCCTCTTCCTAAAAGCTCACTTAGGGAGATTCCCAGTTGCCATTAGAAAAGCAAAATAAAATTAATCTAAATCGTTCTAACTTTATCTTAGAAAATTAATGATGGATGAAAGAGGGGGTTTATAAAGGTTTAATAAGAACTAGTCTGGAATACAGTGTATATTCTAGAGCCTGTGATTATAGTGGTAATTTAGCAGATTGTATCACTGCCTATCTCTGCCAAAGGATGTTTCACACCATTTAAAATGCACAGTACTCCCTTCAGAGACAGGTTGTTCTGGAATAACTCAACGTCCAAAGAAAAGCCATGTTATTTCACTCCTCTCTCTATCAATTGCATGTGTGCGATTGCGTGTGTGTGTGCGTTGTCTTCTCCCCAGCAATAGCTCTAAGTTTTCATGCTTGTTTCTGTGTTCATTTATCAGCCGCCTCAGAGACAGACAGTACCAAAAATGGAAACTAATGAAATCTATTCAGAATAGGGTTTAAGTGCTGAAACCAGAGTGCCTGTATAAAACAAAGTGTGAATTGGCCCTTCCTCTAAATGGTGAATTAAAATAAATTTGGTTTTGAACAAGCTATGCAAACTCTGAGAGCTCCTTTTTGTTCCTCATTTTGAAGAGGAACAAAACAGTGAGATAAGGACAAATCTTAGTATTTTTTATCCAGCAAAGGTGATTTGGGAATCTCTAGACCAAAGGGATTGAGATTTGAATAAATTGCATGCCTGTGATGTTTCCAGGACTAAGGATGCAAGTCTCGCAGTGTGCAAAAGCGTGAGCCAAGCTGATCTGTAGTTAAATTAAAGAATTTGCTGTATTTAAATTCACACAGTGTATGATCTGACATTCCCTTTGGCTTTACTGCCTCTCTTTCTTACAGGCTCTTTGCTGCTAAGTGCAGTGGCTGCATGGAAAAGATCGCCCCAACAGAATTCGTGATGAGAGCCCTGGAGTGTGTTTACCACTTAAGCTGCTTCTGCTGCTGCGTTTGTGAACGACAGCTGAGGAAAGGGGACGAATTTGTTCTTAAGGAAGGGCAGTTGCTCTGCAAAAGTGACTATGAAAAAGAGAAAGACTTGTTGAGCTCGGTCAGCCCAGACGACTCAGACTCAGGTGAGCTTTTCCCACACCTGCTCCGACTGGAAAAGCTGCAAGGGTTTGTAGAGCTTTCTTATAGAAAAGTATATCCATTTTCACATCTACTTTATCTATATGTGCGTCATCCATGCAAATTAGCAGGCACAGCTAAAAAAAATCCCTACTTGCAGTCTGTTCTCCCTAACTTGACTCCCTTCCTTAACCTGCTACTTAGTAAAGGACAAAAACTTTTTGTTTTTGTCAAAGTATTTTTCTGTAAGATCAGAAAATGGGAATCAGACTGACTTCAGTTACTTGAGGCCTCATTCAAAGTGTGCCATTTTCCACAGGCATTCTTCCATCCACTTAACATATTTTTCAGGGCATCTTCTGTGCATACACTTTCAGTACTGATCTAGGCAAAATGGGCAAAGTAGTAATATGACTTTTGAGAGTATTCTCTCTGCCAATCACAAATGGTAACTTTAAGAAAAACTACAAGTACAACACAGAAGTACTGAGGAGAATCTGGACCAAGAAGCGGGTTTGTGCTGCAGCAATAGCATGTACAGTGCAGGAAGCCAGGGCAGCTGCCCGCTTGGCGAGGCTGCCTGCGTATCCACTCCTGTCAAGGCAGGCAAGGGGGCTCACACAAAAAGGAAAAGAAAAAGCAATAACTTGAAAGAGGAGTTTAGGGGAGTCTGTCTCTGGGTGCTTTCAAGCCAGATACAATGGTTGGCTCTCCTGACTTCCATCCCAACTTCTCCCTGGCAGTATGTCTCTTCTGTGCTACTAAGGCTCTAGTTTCTGATCATCTCTGTTGTCTACCTGCTGGTTTTGCGTCTGAGCCCCATCCACAAGTCAGCCTAGGAGATCATCTACGTATTGACCTAAGAATAGCTGCACTATGGTTTGTATGCTACATATAGTACAGAAGCGAGGCATGCAAAATGAGGCTGTCTGTCCAGGGCTGGGAACACAGTACTGAACAGGACAAATAGTTCACACACTAGATTTGGGTTCTCCAGTCCAAAACCCAGGGGATCGAGTGGTGGTTACAGTGAGGACTGGCTTTCAGGCTCACAGGCAGTTCCAGGAGAGACGGGATGCCTCCTTCCTGTGCTGTATACACTCAAGGACACTGGAAACCTCCTGCTGCCGGTGTGCCCTGGCTGATCCCAAGACTAGAGACAACCTGTACACGAATTGCTGCCAGCCATCATAATTGCGCACTTGTTTCCCAGGAAAAAGTCTAAGAAAATCAACAATTACCGTTCCATTAAGCGTACAAATGACATGAATGTTTGCTTCTGGTTTATGGGAAAATGCATTATTCCAATTTAGCTAGGAGCAGTAATTATCCTTAATCTCTAATCTGAGAGCCATATTCTCCACATTGCTGAAATTTATATTTTCGTGTCAGGAATGCTGCAAGACAAAGGTCACTGCTGACTCGGCAGGATGTGCGGGACTGGGGCCTTTCTTGGAGCAGCATGTTATTTACCGCCATACTGTATTTGCAGGACCTTGAGTGCTCTGCTCGGTAAATCTCATGTCACAGGGTTTGGGCTCTTTGTGAATTTGCCTGAGGCATGTGAGTTTTCTACTTGCCCTTCAGCATGTCATTCTCATCGCTGACTTCAGCATCCTGCTGTCCGCCTGTCTGTGCCCAGACAAACCCCCTTTGAAAAGCTGCGTGTGCAGGGCTGTCCCCATGCTGCAGCGATGGGCATGGGGATCCTCCTCCCCTGCCTTCCTTACTCACTGCGCTGGCACTGGTGGCTGCTGTTTGCCAGCCGACTGTGTTTGAGATCTGCTTTGGGCATGGGTGGGCTCTCCTTCAGGACCAGATTTTCTATTTTGTGATCAGCAGTAAGCTACCACAGTGGCACAAAACAACCTTGGTTTCAATTTTATTTCCCCTTGGCACAAGGCGTAGTTTCTTACTCCTGGAGATGCTTTTTTTTCCTCATTATTCTCTGTTAGCCAAACCCAAACCTGAAAAACAAGTTGACAAATTAAATGGGATGTTTTGTCTCCCATTGTCTAATACATTGAAAACACAGCTCTCCCAGATGCCTGTGTGAGAGCAAATGATTTCACATAGCCCTGGCTGAGAATGTGTCCTTCTCCAATCAAATATTTATCCACTGGACACAAAAGTAACTCTCCAGTGAGCAATATTAATCCTCACAAACGTTTCCTTAGAAAAGGCATGCTGGAAAGTTAATAATGTCATGGTTATTAAAATGACTGAACTTCTCTTTAATCATTAGGCAAAAGATGCTTATTAAAGTAAAAGGTGATTAGATTGCTAGGTGTATAATAATCAGACCCTAAAATGAATTAAAGTCTAACTTGTTAATTCCCCAAATGTAATCTTTGAGTATATAAAAATTGCAGTATGGTTTTTTATGTTGAAGTCCCTGTAATAGTACATTAAAGTTTTCTGGAAGAATAATCAGTAGTCTGGTGAAATAAAATATGCTGAGTTGAAAAGTTGTTTTTCACAACAAAATTTGTACTTCAACCTTTGCCACTGCAATTGAGATTTCCCAGTACAATATAGTAACACACGTAATAGATTGTACGACTATTCAGAATTTAACTATAGAAAATACAAATAATCTGTTTGGTCTACACGAGCATGTACATATTGTATGTATTTACCAAGAAAGAAAAATTCGTGCATGCACATATAGACACATTGTAATACACAAGGAAAGAATGCTGCTATTTTCTGTGGGATACAGAAATGAGATGGCAAAGTTTATATTATCTCTAGAGCTTCAAAATATTCAGAACAATAACTGGAATCTACACTATATTTAGCTAAACAGACTTTGAGGTATTTTTGTGATATTTGCGTTTACACTGTTTTGCTGCCATAGCGGTGCGGGCAGTAATACCTCCCTGCAAGTAATGCTTTGGGAGAAGAAGTGGCTCTGCTGTGAAGGGAAAGCTGTGTATCAGTTGGTGTGGTTGCAGCAGGTGAGCACACAGGGGACCAAACGAAGCCAGAAGGGCACAAAGTCTCTTTGTGCCTGATTCCTGGAAGTATTGAAGCATATTCCGAATTTCCATCCCTTGATCAGTCCCATGCCCTCAATTAAAAATTAAACACACTTTTATGCTTTTGTGGCATTTGATTTAGGCAGTGCATGCAAATCTAAGATAGTCTCTTCCTGCCCGCAGTTGCTTTAGGTATTCAGATAAACATGGGGTAATAGTTGAACCTGTTGACCAGTTTGGCAGCTGAAGAGCAGTTCTCAAACACCCTGTTATCTTGGTGGAACAAGTACAATTTTATATCCTGTTTATTTTTCACCAGTTAAAAGCGATGATGAAGATGGAGACGTTAAGCCCACCAAAGGACAAGTAACCCAAGGAAAAGGAAGCGATGATGGGAAGGACCCGAGAAGACCTAAACGACCAAGGACAATACTTACTACGCAGCAGAGACGAGCATTCAAAGCATCCTTTGAAGTGTCTTCCAAACCCTGTAGGAAGGTAGGTGCTTCACTGGGGAGCTGAAGTCAGCTCTGACAGCAGGCCCCGGGGGGTGACAGGGTCAGATAGCCCCCTGCCCCTTCCCGGTACAGCAGCAGGCGCCTTGGGGTGAACACAGAGACCAGGCCAGCGTATGGCGATGCTCACCCAGATACCATCTCAGCCTGGAGCCATCAGCAGCTTAGGACCAACCAGCTCATCGTTATTTCTGGATATTCACCCACGGTATGCAGAGTAGCTCCGTGCCTGATTCCTGCTGAACAACAATATTTGGTTCTTACAAACATGAAGTAGGCTTTGACTATCAGAGCCCAGGTAAACAAGTGGCTTTTGCCCTTCTCCTTCCCACCGCAGAGGGAGTCACTGTCCAGCGAGATGGGTGCTCAGCATTGGTCACACTACTTGTCCTTCCAGTCTTGCTTTTTTATGAAACTTAACCTTGCTGTTGATCTTGTTTATAGCCGCTAGGGAAAGGTATAATGTATTGCTTCACTGGTGAAGCTGGTGAAAATCAAATCTTTGTGAAAAGCAACCCAGGTAACTGTTTCCTCCTAAGTTTGGCTGGAAAAAAATGGGAGTTGCATTCTGAAAACTGTCATTTTTGCAAAAAGTTACATTCTCCTGCTGACACACAAAGTACGTCTTTTGGGAAAGTGCAATGTGCCTTTTTGCCATTTTAAAGTATGAAATTGTACCTCAAGAATATGAAAATTGTTCACAGCCAAATTTATATCTTTTTGCACAGAACTGTTTTATGGGTAAAATAAAAATCATGAAATGACTTAGTGTTATTTTACATAGCTCAGACTATTTGTTCAGTACTTATGAAACTGGTAGCGACATGAAGGGCAGACCTTGAACAAACTATGCAAAAATATGAGGAATTTTAAAAAGTAATTCTGTACAAGCAGTTTTTATTGTTAAGTACAGGCATATTCCTCCTAACATAACTGATTAGTTTTTTTAAAAAATATTAAAAAATTACATCATTAAACATTCCCTCCTGTAGGTCAGAGAAACACTGGCAGCTGAAACAGGACTCAGTGTGCGAGTTGTCCAGGTCTGGTTTCAAAACCAAAGAGCAAAGGTAGGTTGTTTGTCAAGTTCTCAAAAGTAAAACACAAATTGTCCTCCAACACAGATTTCCCCCTCCCCCTAGATGTAGTACATACCAGAGGTCCCAGGGACTGAACTGTACATATTTTGCATGCACTGCTGTCTACATCCATACAAGAAAGGCAACTTTCAAACACAGACATTTAAGTTCGTGTGCTCAAAGCAACATGAGGTTGGGAGTAAATTTTGCATGCAAATATGAACTGGAAACTGAAATGTTTAAGCTTAGAAATGAAACTGAACCCACAGTGGTGTGTGCGTGAATATAAATGTTCTGTATTAATTGATTCGATGTTTGCAGAGAGTTTTGTAAGGAAACAAAATTGTTGTATTCAGAGCTGTGACATTGTTCTGTTCTTCCTCTTTTATTCAGATGAAAAAACTAGCACGAAGGCATCAGCAGCAGCAGGAGCAACAAAACTCACAGCGACTAGGGCAAGGTAAGGGATTTGTGATGAAGGCAAAGCAAGGGGAAAAGAATCTGCAAGGTTTCTTGAAGTGCCATTCCCACATAATGTCTGAAGTACAGCCATACAGGGCATGCACAAGTCTGTGGATAATGTGTGCCATTGCCAGTGGAAACACACAGATGTGCTGTGTCTGAGTGCCCACCCCAGGTTACCCCAGAGCTCTCCCATGGGGCCAGACCCTGGAGGTGCTGACACAGAAGCTGTTACTGCCTTTCTAGAAGAAATGTGCAGTAGCGAGGAGCTTTCACTGGAGGAAGTCTCCAGGAGGCTCACTCTAGGTAGATCCTCTAGTTTGTTTTCTCCTGAAGAAAGGGGGACCATGCTCAGCTGGGCATCTGCAGAGTCCTCGCAAGGGCATCAGCGTTGCTGCCACAGCCAAGGCACAGGGAGCCCCTCCTGTGCCCTGGCAGCTGGCTGCACCGTGGGGCAGGAGCTGTGCAGAGGCACCAGGGCTTGCCCTTCTGCTCTGTGTATGCTCTTGAGGTTCTCCAACTCCCAAGGCCTTGCAGCCTCAAATCCTCCTTTTTATGCAGAGCCAGAAAAACTGGTACCAACAGAAGTTAGAGAATAATAGGGCAATGTCACATACAGGATGGGCTTTGGGAAGATACGGTCCAGCACCCCGGAGCTCCAGAAATTATATAGTCAGAAACTACAAGTTGTTCAAGTTACTGCTCAGGGATGTACTCAGGCAAAATTTGGAAGGCTCCTCTGATTGACAGGACACACCTAGCTGCGTTCACTCTGTGCTCGGGTTCAGTATTGCCACTGATGCTACTGTCTGCTGCCTCTTTGTTCCTAAGCAGTGACTGTGCTCTCCTGTTTGCTTTGCAGAAGTAATGTCCAACCGAATGGAAGGGATGATGACATCTTACACGCCACTTGCACCACCACAGCAGCAGATTGTAGCAATGGATCAAAGCAGTTATGGCACAGACCCATTTCAGCAGGGTCTTACCCCTCCACAAATGCCAGGCGACCACATGAACCCTTATGGTAAGGCATGCATCATTCTGCCGCATCAGAAATAGCAGGGTTCCTATGCTGGTTCACACACCACAGGTTCAGGAGAGTTACTTGCTTTTATAATGTTTTTTTTTTCTGGGATTTGTACCAGGGAATTTGTACTAGTCAGTTTTGTTTGTATATTTTCATGTACACATAAGGGGGTAGAAAAGAGCTCCTCCCAGGCTCTGGACACTCTTCAGAAATATTTCACAGTATAATTCTGATAAATGATAAACCAAGCAACATCACCTCTCCAGCTCCACTTTTTTAAACCACTATCCAAGACATTGAAAAATAAATAGTACCAAATTGTAGCTCCCTCACAAGTTTTTCCTTTTTCTTAGAAGCTTTGGGAAAAAAGTGCCTTCAATAAAGAGAAGTAATCTATTCATTCCAAAATGAATAACCACCCCTGTAAGATCCCTCAGATTGGATGCATGGATTTGTTACAGAACAGTTCTTGAGCTACTGAGAGATGTGTCACCACAGGACAATTCTCCTGCGTAATTTTATTCTCTGCCCAAAATCAAGATGATGGTTTGCTTTCATGATTTCCTGACCACACACCATCAAGTGGATAGGTACACCAAACACATCACAAGCATTAAATGCCTAATAATTGATTCTGGACAATTGCAGTGTGGCATTTAAATAAAAATTAAGAGGACTTAGACTGTGATTATTGGCCTTGCTGTAGCCCACAAGGGCCTGTTACGTCAGATTCGTTTCTGCTGACCAGGAGCACTTCATTGTAGAGGTCCACGTGCATATCACTTTCATGAGCACGGCATGCACAGGCCAACAAGAAATCTGCTTTGGGTCTGTGTTATTACTTTTTCCCACTGAGACAAGTCCATGGTACACACCAGGTATTTTGGTAAATCCTGTAAGGAGCTGAGGACATCTGAAGTGCCAATGAGCATTAGGTGGCTTGTGATTTTGTTGCTAACAATTTGCTTGGCTTTCTAAGCAAAACTCCTTGAGAGGCAGGTTCTGTGCTCCAAAACAAGTACAGGAGATAGCACAAAGCCATTTCAAATGAGTGCATGAGGAAAAAGAGCCGGACTAACACTTTCTTAGTGCTCACAGGACTTGAGCTAGAGCTCTTTCTGGTACCTTAGGAGTTGAAGTAAGCTGAAATCTTGGTTGCTAAGGGAAATAAAAGGTGCTGTTCCAAACCAGCCCCAAAAGAGTGGAGTTTTCTGAAGTGAAAGCATATTTACAGCTTGAGGCCAGGGAAGCTGGGTCTCCTCCTGGGTCCTGTTGCATTTGTAGATCTGTCTTTTACCTTGTGTGTAAAGGAAGACCATTACTGGTTATGGCTCTCAGACCACTTTTCCCTGTCGTGGGCACTCAATGTCTGGTCCCACCTTCCTCAGCGGTCCCGGTGCCCCCACAAATGCCGGATCCCAGCTCACGGAGAGCCGGGGACCTGCTCCTCCCCGGCACCATTTGCTCCTGTCGTCAGCCAAGACTCTCTTTTGTGCTGCTAACTGAAGTATAAATTAAATCCTGGCAGATTTGAGTGGCACTGCTGCCAGCTGAACTCTGTCAATTGGTTGCTAGCCTTCCTCGTTGTAGGTCAGACCCTTAGAGCAAAATTATGTTAACGTGTAAAAACAAAACCAGGAGCATTCCCTTTTGCTGCAGCGCACAACATATGAGCATCCGTGTGTACTGTGTCCTCCTCCGGCTGCACAGAATCCAGCTTAACATATACGTTTCATTTGCAGGAAACGACTCCATTTTTCATGATATCGACAGTGATACCTCTTTAACTAGCTTGAGCGACTGTTTTCTTGCCTCTTCCGAAGTTAACTCCATGCAGGCTAGAGTAGGAAACCCCATTGACAGGCTGTACTCTATGCAGAGCTCGTATTTCGCCTCATGAAAATAAAAGAAAACAAACAGCCGGCGTATATTTAGCCAGTGACTTTTTCCAGTGCAGACTCTACAGCCATATGTTGCCCAGCTCTTCCTTCACAGTGACTCCTGCTGCCTCTGGACTGCAAAGAGCATTTTTAGGAAGACTGTATCTGTGTGCATATATGTGTATGTATGTATATATATATTAATACCTACTTACATACATACATATATATATATATATAAACAAAATGCACCCACCAGTCCCATACCCTTGATTCCCAGCTTGCACCAGACCACGAGACAAGCACGGAAGGAACAGAAGACCCTGCTCGTCAGCAGCCTTTGGTTTGGTTTGGTTTGAGCTCATCGTTGTAAAGGAAATGGATTTTGTGGAAAGCTAGACCTTTTCCTCCTTTCTCTCTTCCTTTCTTTTGGATGTTTAAACTTTTTTTTTTAAAGCCACTGATACTGACATCAGTCGACCATATGACAAATAAATCAAAGAAACTGGAGATTCCTCCCTTTTCTTACTGCATGATTCATACTATGTTGTGGATAAATTGCCATTTGAACTGTGAGAAGTTAATGTAAATGTGACGTTCAACGTTGTTTCCTTTCTACACTTTTTCTACATAACCTAGATCTGCTCATTAGTTTATAGCCCTTATGCATATGATACTGAGGAAACTGGTTAACAGTAATATTTGTGGAGAAAGCCAGTGATTTCATAATAAGAAAGGTCTATGACCCTGGAGAGGAGATGCATGTTAGGGACAGAGGCATTTAGGTTAGTATTGATCTTAAATAATTAAAACTAAAGGTGCTTACAAGACAGAGTTTTAATTTTTTTTGAAGTGTGAGAATAAAACATTTACATTTGTTTGTAAGTATTGCAGTGCCAAATTTCAAGTCTAGACCATGATTGGCAAACATGTGTTGTTCATTCTGTTCTGTTTATTTATGTTTTGCATGAGGCATAAATGTGCTGCGCTCCATTGTCCATCTGGAATAATTAAGCACTCCTTTAGTTAATTATCTCGCCTCAGCAAGAATCTATGATATACAGTTCTAGCCTGAACCATCAGAAGTCCTGAAATGTGCACCAACTGGGGAATAAAAAGAATGAGAGAGATCGCAATGGGAGGTTTAGGTACGTTGAGCTGGAGTCTAATCCAAGTCCTGCAGGTTTCACACTGACAGGACTCCTGTATTTACAATAAATACTCCAACTAACCTATTAGTGCAAATGTAAGAAGAACAAGTACAAAAATTGAAGGCAATGTCCCAGCTGAAGTCTGAATGTCTCAGATGCTGAAGTTTGAGCATATGTCATATAGGTTTTTGTAGGGCATAAAATATCATAAATAATAATAGTATAGTTATAAATATTGCCTGGTGATAATTATAATGTGGAGAGGCAGACAAGTACAGTCATGGCTCTTAGTGGAGAAAACTTCATGGGGAAAATTTGCCAGGGTAATATCAGTAATTATAGGGTGTGTTCAAAATAGAGCTCATGGGGAAAGATTGGCAGGATAGGCACTTTCTTAAATAAATACCTTTAATTTATTGACCATAATAGCCGAAAACAAGTCCAAAGCATTGGTTAATCCGACTCCTCCAGGCTGAGGACTGGTACTAGGCCAGCGCCGCAGTCTCCCGTGGGGCTCAGCACCTTCTGCAGAAGTGCTGGGCTTTGGGACTCCTGTTGCAGGGGGGGGCAGGCCAAAGCAGGGCCCCCGCAGCCTCAGCACCTGGGGAGAGAGCAGCCCTGCTGAATGCCGGGGCACCATGGCCTTGGCAGAGGGGGGTCCTGCTGCAGAGCCCCGCGGATGGCTGCCCACCCCTTCACTGATGGAGAAAGGTCTTCCTTGCGTTCCAGAGGAGTGGATGGTAAGGATCAGATGATAGGTCCAAGAAAAAAATAAGATCGCATTCCCCCCCCAGAGTGGAAATGTGGACCAAGCGTGTTAGAGGTTTCTTGAGAAAGCAAAGTTTTATTTGCAAGATAAATGTGTGCATTTTCACTCTGTGGAGGAGAGGAAAGCACCAGGGGAGAAGACTATGCGTGTGCAGTGCAGGAGAGCAAAGCGCAGACCCAAGGCAAGCCCTTCCCGCCGCTGCACGGTGGCAGACCTGCCATCTGCCACACACGTAGCCCTTCGCGAGCGAAAGGGCTGATGTCTTTGCGAGGATGCCGGGGTGGTGCTCCCCTCCCTGCAGGTTCCCATCTCCTCCCTCCACCATGGCAGCCCGAACTGCAGGCTGCCATGCCCAGGGAGATGGGTCCGTCCCTTTCTGACAGGGAAGTGTATTTTCAGTTGAAGGTTGTGAGCCCCTGCATATGTTTTGAAATTGGAAGAATTTTCTTTTCTCACCCATCCCGTTCAGTTATTTTTCTCTTTCCTTGTGTATCAAAATAAATAACAATTTCCTTTCTCTCTGCATGATAGCAAACATCTATAAAGAACTCAGGTGATCCTCACTGCTTGCAGGGCAGAAAGCAAGCAGATTTCATATGGCACATTAGAAACGTTTGTCACCACCGATCTCAATGGATTCATCAAGTTTTCCTCCCCACCCTTCAGCTGTGCTACTTTAGAGTCATAGAAAAGCATCTTCACCATCTCAGGCATACCGGGTTTATAGACTCTACACATAGGCACAACCTTGCTTCATCCCTCATTACTGGCAGGATCAAAATGGCATTTTTAGTGTTTACAGGGACTTATATGAGAACTATAATGTGACCTACAGTTTGGAGAACTGCCTTGTCCCAACTCTACCTCTGCTGCTGGGCTGGATGTTGAAAAAACAATCCATTTCCAAGGAAAGAATCAGATATTCCGTTTGTAGCTGAAGTAACCATAATCTTTTGCTGATTTTTTTGGATGACTGTTTGCCACCTTTTTTTTTTTTTTTTTCCTTTTCATTGCTTGTACATACCATCTCCTCTTCCCTTGGTGTGTTGTATGATGATGCCTTAGCTGTTTGTTCCCCCATATTCTACCATCTCTGGTGCCACGTGCACAACACAGTCAAGCCCTCTGGCATGTGTAACATTTCCCATGCCACTGTGGGTTGCTGCTGGTCAACGGAAGGAATGCATAGCCAATGATTTCCAGTGGACCCGTTATATCTGGCAAAGGCCAAAGTTCATTAAAGCAAAATAAATGTCACTTTTCTTTGTGGAATGAATTACCCTACTGGAGTGTGATCATTGTGGTTTTAACCTGGGACCTGCAGTAAAAGATTATATAGCAACCTCTGACCTTTTTGATTTCTGCTTTACTCTTCTATTGTCAAGGGAATGTCACCAATCAGGTGAAAGTAAAATGCTTAATGGGCCATATCACAGTAATATCTTACACCGAGTCAAATTGATAAACTCTTGCCAAAAATTCTTAGCATCTGGCACTTCCACGGAAACCACAAACAATGATTGCACATATGGGAGCTTGAAGGCTAGAGGTCATGACAGCAGTTTATTACATGCACCTTACAGTGATCATTTTCCCTAGGAAATTAACCTCTCTCTAATATAAATGCGTCAAGTGAGCTCTTCACGGTGTTTCAATCTTGTTGTTTTGGCTAAGCAAGGAATACATGTTAAGCTAAAGTGGTGACAAGATGCAATTAAGTAAAAGATGATTGATTAGGTTTCAGTGTTTGCTCAGTAAGGTTTAAAAAAGATGACTCTGAGATCAGAATGAATATGCTAGGTAGTAGCCTCCTCAGAGGTCTTTATTGTGCAGTTACCAGATCTGTAATGGTGGCACATAGAGATTTCCAGCATTCAGAAATGGTTACTGAGCAGTGCGGTCCTTGATCCCGCTGCTGGGCTCTCGGCTGGGCAGCAGCACATTTCCACTGCACGGCTGACTGTCGAGGGGACAATTCCTACCATACATTGCTGTTCTCAGCCCCCCCATTTACTACAGCACTATGGATTAAACCCTGTATCACAAGTCGTTAGAGGCTGGTGGTAAATGTGTTTCAGAGTCACAACATGGAAGACAATTACATTGATGTAAGTCAAGTATGGTGGTTGCAATCACTAAGATTGAAACACCATCCTAGGCATTTTGATCTCCTTTCCTTCTTTAAACTCTGTCATCAAAAAAATCCAGATCACTTGGCTCAGTTGCTGCTAACCGTGCCTGAGATATGACTCATGTTAGTCTCACGATGGCTGCTGAGTGGACTTTTCAGACCCACCTCACACAAGTTGGATGAGTATTACCAGGTCCTTTGAAGGGGTCATTGCTACTCTGTCAGCAGCAACTTGGCCACCTCGCTGCGCTGTCATTGCATGGGGAAGGTCCTTCATGCCAGCAAACCTTCCAGGGATGATGTGAACCCACTTACCTCTTCCTACTGTGCTCAGGACTCCCTTCCAGTTTCCTTACGGATCAGAATTATATCCCAAGCCACCGCCCCAGGGAACCCGGCTCTGTGATGCTGCTAGGGATGCTGCAAGCTGGGGTTTGCGAGAGCACCTCTTTGAACCGTGTCATAATTAATTCTGGTTGTCCCCAAAAGTCACTAGAAATTAACAACAGAATCCAGGAGGAAGGGAAGGGTTCTTACAAGCCTGGAGCTTGGTCACAACAGTGGAAGGACAGAGAGGCTACTGAAGCACATCAAAGCCATGGGAGCTGGAGTCACAGTACCCAAAGTCTCAAGTGTTCAGGATAGTGCTTTACACAATCCCATGCCTAAACCACATCACGCAGATGCTCCCTGTGTGTGCAGGTCCATCTCCAGCCCACCCTCCTTGCCCCAGTGACATGGGACAGCTGGCCACTGCACCCACAGCAGCGTGGCCAGGGCTTCAGGCATCCATTCTCTCCGGTTAGGGGTTCCTTGGGCGCTTGCTTACCTCTTGGCAGGTACCTGAAGTCTTTTGGCTTTGGTGGGATTTAAGCACAGTCTTGTTCATTTGAGGCCTGTCTGAATAAACTGACAACTGTTTGCCCTTCTCAAGGATGCAGCCCAGGTCCCCTTGGTTCTGCACACCCTGTTTCTGCTCAGCAGTGGCTGTGAAGGGACTGCCAGATACTTTGCATTGGGAACTCTGTTTTTAAGTGAACACCCTATTTTTTAGCTGTGTATGGCTGTATTACTTGTATATTTATATATTCTGTATTTATGTTATCGAAATGTAGTATTTTGTAGCTGTCTGTTACAATTTGTTTAACTTGTAAAAAATATGACTATGCTCTCTCATACTTAACCAGCTGCCTTTCACCATAGATTCTCTGCTCCTTTTCCTCTGTGTTGGTAACAAACCACCATAATGTATGTAGATCGGATTTTTTTTTTTTTATTTAATTACTTGTCATTGTTAAATTATTTATTAGTGTTTTTAAATTTCATTTCACTGCATTTTTTTTTTTCTGCCACCATTGCCTGGCAGC